GCATAACCCAGGCTTGGCTCCCTGGTGAGCCTTCATCGTGAATACTACTTCATTCAGTTGAATAAAGACTGTATTAAAGAGTATATTTATATTTAACATATCACATGGCATGATGAGTTAGGGTTAGTCAGAAGCTGATAGGAATGAGTCAATTGCAGAGGTGGGTTCCTACCAGTTCGCACCTATTCGGTAGAACCGGTTCGTCAAATCTACCAAACCGGTTAGAAGAGGTTCCACCAGTGGACCCAGAAAGCAGGCCACACCTACAGAAGAGGTTCCAAANGCTCTGGGTCCTCATTTTACCAACCTCAGAAAAGTGGAAAGCTGAGTCAACCTTGAGCCAGTGAGAACTGAACCACCAAACTGCAGGCAGCCGGCAGGCAGCAGTAGCAGCTTGCAGTACTGCATTCTAACCGCTGTGCCACCACAACTCATGGAATTGTTCTACCCTAGGCAAAAGTCTCAAGGCCCGAGACCCTGTTTAGAAAGTATTCTCTCTCCTTCTCCTCAGCATAATTCCACAACATTGTGGATTACATTACATTATTCTTTACATCTGAACCAAATGTATATGGTTTGTTCAGTATTTAGAAGATGTGTTGGTTTCTTGTATATTCTGGATCATGAGCCATGATTAAATAGCTTCATAACCCTGGTTTAACAGGAATGCCCAAAATTGTTTTATGTAATATTTCAATTTCTTCAAGCAGCTCAACTAGATGACTTTGAATCAGTCTAGTCTAGCCAACACACAGGATCATGGCTGTAGGAAAAAAAGGAAGGAGAGCAATGAACGGTAACCCGAGCTCCTGAATGAAAGGCAAGGTATAAAATCCAACAAATTTTTGCTCTGTCACATTTTTGCATTTGTGTGCACATACTCAAAACTTCCTCACAAAAATATGCATATTTATTCAAGCACATTTTATGGACTTCTAATTTTGCAATAGTTTTCTCTTAACAAGGCCTTTTGCCAATTGTTTTTCTAATGTATGCATTTCTGGAGACCATTCTGTGTCTCATACATGGCTTTTGCTTATTGTGGATGTGTGACATGACATTTGGAAGCGTGCAGGTCCTCAAGAATAACCCAGGTCTTGTAAATATTAGAATATGAATCAAGTGAATTTGCCCCTCTTTAAGAAGTAGTATTTACGTTCACATTTTATATGAATAAGAGAAATGTATTTTATTGTCTGTTAAACAGACAACCGGGGCCTTGAACCGGGGCCTTGAGGCTGTTAAAGACTGGATGAGAGCTAACAAACTGGTNTCATCTCCATTTCAAAGCCAAAGAGCCAGCACTGTCCAAAAACGTCTCTGTGGTCATGTGGCCGGTATGATTAAAAACCAAAGGCGCAGGGAACGCTGTTTCCTTCCCACCAAAGATGGTTCCTATTTTTCTACTCGCATTTTTTACGTGCTTTCGAACTGCTAGGTTGGCAGAAGCTGGAGAAGTAACGGGAGCTCACTCCATTACAGGTATCGAACCGCTGAACTGTTGACCTTTCTGATCAACAAGTTGAGCGCTTTAGCCACTGAGCCACTGTGTCCCTAACACCCTTGCAAGAAGGGTGGCTCAACTCCTTCAATCACCTCTCCCATGGTGCTTTTTGGACACATATTTGCATATCAGACTCTCCACCTGATCACCGTGAAGGAAGAGAATCAGCTTCAAAATGTTTGCTTCTATAGAGGCAACTGCTCCAACTAACTAAAATATTCAATTAGAGAGGAAGACACAGAACGTCTTTGTCCAAAAGTGGCAAAAAGAGATCCTCAAAGGACCTGCAGCTTCCCAAAAGGGAATTTGGGGGAGAAGCTCTTATACAAGAATCTGCAACCATCATGATGCTCCATTGGAGGTTAGTGGTCCAGGAACATCAGAAATCCACCAAGCTCATGACTGGTAACCCAATGGGTTGTAGCTCTTCGGATAAGAGGCTTTTAAGCCATGGCCTTCACTGTTCTCCCATAGGTTAATTACCAGAGGGATCTTGGGATTCCAAGCAGCTGCCACAGTTAAGGATCCAGAAATAATGTGCTGAAAGAAAAGAAAAAGCAAATCAACCTGGCTCCATCCCCAGAGAACAAAACTTACAGAAGTCTCTCTTCCATCCCAGGCCTATTGTCAGGGTTCCAAGTAATACACCCATAACAGGTAGAACTCTCCAAGGCAGGTAGATTCCTCAAAAAACAGTTTTATTGGATATATCATATTGGCACAGTCTGGTGAAAACCAACTCTAAAGTTCCCCGCGGTTTTCACCAAGTTAAAAGTAAGTTTTCCCCCTTCCCCAGTCAGTCAGTCACATGGTCCAATCAGTGTGTCTTCCAGTTGCTTGGTAACGTCACTCCACCTCTCTCCAACCACCTGTGAGAAGGTCCTTGGTTCCCAGGGGAAAGTATTTTGTTTTGGTTACAAACCCCATCTATCTCTATTCCCCACTTCTCGACCCCTCAGCTCCAGTGTGGCAACACCGAAGCCCAGAAAACGGCCTCTGTGAGGCCAGCTTCAGGGTTGACACCTATAATCCCTCTCTATGTTCACTAGTCATTAAGTAATGACATTTTTTTTGTGGTGAACCTCAATCAATTTTCCTTATTCCAGCTGAAGATGCAGCTGCTTTAAGGCATCGCAGCCAGGAGCTACATTCATAGGACTTTTGTATGACATAGCAGTAATATTCAGCAGTATTTTCCCCATGTCTCTACGAGAAAAACCAAAGGTCTCCAGATGCTGCAAACAAGAACTCTCAAGTCTCATGGTTCCCATGTCTTGCAATTTCCCGCTGGCTTCCCCAGTGACGTTGCTTATCGGAAGCAGGCTGTGAAAGTCACACATGGCAATCACATGTCACGGGATAATGCATACCAGTTGCTGGGTGTCTGAATCATGATCTTATGACAATGGGGGCTCTGCAATGGCCACAAGGTTGAGGACTGGTCATCAGTCCCCTTCTTAAAATGTACAGGATTAAGTACACCGTCCGAATGAAGCTTCTGGGTTCAGCGGCACTATAACTTCAGTCATTGAATGTGGTGGTTGGTAAGTAAGAACCAGCTATACAATAAGAGCCAAGGAGATTTACTTCTATTTTTTTTTGTAAAATTCAGAGGTGTTTAGAAATTTGGAGACCAGGCATAAGACAAAAATGGAACTAGCCAAGCAATCCTGTTTTTCTGAAGTAAAGTCTGTAAAAAGATTTGGAGAAACCAAAAGCGGCTAAACTACAGCTCCAAGCATCCATCAGCAAAGACCAGGCTGCTGTCAGGCTGCTGTGATGGGCAGTTCAACATCTGGATCCTGAGTTATCGTGTTCAATTGTTTCAATACATCATCATGTAAAATTACCAAGATTCTACCCCAATAGGGTATCTTTATAAGCAGAAAAAATTACCAAGATTCCACCCCAATAGGGTATCTTTATAAGCAGGAAAAATTACCAAGATTCCACCCCAATAGGGTATCTTTATAAGCAGGAAAAATTACCAAGATT